CGAATTCACGGTCCGATATACATTAATGAATTATCCTACTTTAAAATTTTGAAAAAATTGAAAAAAAATTTTTATAGTCTTAAAATTAATGTACAAAAAGTCTCAAATAGATATATTTAAATCATTCTTCGAATTATAGTGTTATAACGTTTAAAGTAAACTCGTATAACTACGCGCAATTAAATAGCTGAATGCGCTAAAAGAAAGAATAAGAGAGAGAAAGATAGAGAGAGAGACAGAGAGAGAAAAAGAGAGAGAGAGAGAGGGAGAGAGAGAGCACAGTATTCTATACACTGAAAAAAATGTTTGGTATTTATAATTCTAATTGCACAGAGAAATAATTACCATAAATAATGGTCACGTACATAAAAATACAAGAAAACTATTTTTTATTCAATTCTGCTATAACAGCAGACAAAATATAAGTTACTAAGAGATGTCCAAGAGACGTAAAAGAAGTAGGATGTCTTTTGAACATCTTTTAGTAAATTGTGTCTGAGATGTTAGTAATAATAATCTTATATGCATGTTATTACTGTTATTTATTACAAAAATATGATTCGGTCAAAAATAATTATAATTTTAGTTGGATCAACCATTTTTTTTCTCTCAGTGTACATTTTTCTCTCAACTTTTGCATATTTCCAATACAATAAGTATCAATTTGCTATAGCATTGTTTAGAAGATTTCATCCCAAATAAAACGTAAGCCTCAATTTACTCATTTGGTTCTTTGTACCAAAAGAATATTCAGCGGCAGTAAGATAGTCAGAATTATTGCGTCCAGTATCTTCAATAAAGGTTACACAAGCGTCCTTTTGATGATATATATGATAAAGCTATAGGCTAAAATTCATCATTAGGCTAAAACAGTTCTAATATGCGAGCAGCAAGACGAAATGCAAGTTTTCATAAGCGAAGCGTGAACGCTCGAGACATTTAAAGAAGGTTTAAGTGAGTAACGACCCAGACAACACATGGATATCCTATGGATATCCTTTTAAGGATATTGAAGATATCCATAAGCTATCCGTTTTACGTCCTTCGGACACTCAATGGACGTTTGTGGGATATCCGTTTATGAAATTGGAGGACATACTAAAGTCCCCGACATGTCCATAGGATATCCGATGGACATTCTATGGACATATAAAAGTAGCATCCGGATATGTAATTTACAAAATAATTTTGTAATTTGTAAATTAAAAGGATGAAACATATATACCCAAATAGCACAAAATATTTATAAAGTATATTTACAAAATATTTATAAGATTTATTTGAATATTTTATAAATATTTATCAAAATATTTCATAAATATTTTTATGACCTTAGTTTCAATAGATCATAAATATTATATATTTATTATAAATATTACAAAAATATTTATTAAAATACAATTATATAATTACAAGTATATATTACAATTATATACTTTTTCCTCTTTTCCTAAACTTTTCTTAAATTTTTAAAATATATATTATATGTTTTTAGTTTTCACTTTATATTATTTCACACGCTACTTAATTGAAGTTAAATTGTACTTCAGAAATTTGCTTACCATTGCCGAGATTCAAACCTGAGACCTTTGGTTTTTGAGTCGTTTACCTTATTTACTGCGCCACTGTCACTTTGACTAAGAGACGCTTTGTATTGTATACATATGTTGTATCCATATACGGAAACAAATTATTTATTTAAAAGAAGAGAATAGATCCTTTTAAATGTAAAATGTATGTTTAAAAAGTATGTAAAAAGTATATTTAAAAAATATTTACTTGTTTTAAAAGTAAATAAAATACAAATAAATCATTAGCCTTGGCTTAAAATACAAATAAATCATTTTGTAAATTTAAATAAATTGTTTTCTAATAATAAAAGAAACTTTAATTTGAAACCCGAAAAAATATTTTTAATATTAGAAAATAATTTATTTAGATTTATGAAATGATTTACATGTATTTTATTTACATTAAAAACAAGCAAACATTTATTTAAACACAATTTTTACATTTAAAGTTTTCTTCTTGTAAGGAGATTATTTTTTTCTAGAAATTCATAATTTTACAGCTTATTTTACAAATTTTAAAAAATATTACTTTATGTTTATTATATGTTTTTTAATATGTAACAAATATTTTTTTAAGTTAAAAATTATATTGAATAAATATATTTCTTTGATTTAAAGAATTTTTTCAATATTGTATAAAATATTTAGCTATAT